TAAGCCGAGCCCTCGCAAGTGCACATGGCTTCTTTGACAGAAACGGCCTAGCGAGCAGAGCCCTCCCAATGACGCGGCCGCAGCTGAGGGTCCTTGCTAGCCTTGCCGCAGGGTGAACAGGAGTGTCGGCAAGCCTACACCCTCGGTCCAGATATGAGGTGCGATGGAAATCAGCCCTGTCGGCTCGATGCCGATCAGGAGCGAGAGCAACAACGCAAATATTGAGGGGTGCCCATGCTGCCAGAGCCTTCAGGCGCCAAGCCCCTCGAGACGACCTAGCACTGCTTGCTGTCGCTCGTCTGCGGTTGCGCATTCCTTGACAAGCCGTGCCTCGCAGCGAATGCAAAAGAGGTTATGGCCCGACCTCCACCGGCGGTGAGGACTATCAGGCGTCAGTGTCCATGGTGGGAGAGCCGGTGGTGGAGGGGGGGGGGTCGCCTGCTCGGTGCTGCTCGCCGTGGTCCCCTCCCTTAGCACCTCTGCCGCCGCCCACTGCGCCTCCACTCCCACGGCTTCCGCTGCCGTTATGTTCCTCTTTGTTCTCCGTGATGGTGGTGATGACGGTGATGACGATGGTGATGATGGTGATGATGATGGTGATGATGATGATGGTGATGATGATGGTGATGACGAGGATGATGGTGATGGTGATGAAGGCGATGGTGATGATGTTGACGACGACGACGACGGCGACGATGATGATGATGATGCTGCTGATGCTAATGCTGATGCTGGTTCTGATGATGAAGGATGGTACTATATGATGATAATGGTGATGATGGTGATGATGGTGATGGTGATGGTGATGATGGGGATGCTGGGCAGGATAGTGATGGTGGTGGTGGTGATGCTGGTGACGGTGATGGTGATGGTGGTAGTGAGGGCGGAGGTTGTGGTGATGATGTAGCTGATGCTGACGATGACGATGATGATGTTGCTGATCTATGGTGCGGGTGGAGGTGGTGATGATGATGATGATGGTGATGATGATGATGATGATGATGATGATGATGATGGTGATGATGATGATGGTGATGATGATGATGATGATGATGATGATGATGATGAGGAGGAGGAGCATGGTGGACCAGTCGGCCCTAGTCGCCGTTTCATGCCTGGCGGGCCAACCTCGACCGCCCGGTTGGGGCGCGGTGCCGGCGTCGTTTCTTCTGCTTCTTCCCCTCCCTCCGCGCCTCTTCCCGAGCAAGGGAATTTTCTCCTGTTCCTGCTTCTCCTGGTCCTCGCTCCCCCTTTCTCTTCCTCCCCCTCCTCGCTTCCGCTCTTGCCTCTGTGCCAGTTGCTCCTGCCGCCCTTCGCACCTCTCCAGCCGCATCCTCCTCCCACTTCTTCTCGTACTCTCCTCCCATCTTTTAGTGCACAATTAATCACACATTGTGAATACTACTCTCCTCATGTCTCCGCTTAATCTGTGCGGAAGATGTTCGGCTCTCTCCGCACAGTGTTTTGTTACGCACAAGATCTCCACACGTTGTTTTCATGTGTTGTTCCATCTGGTAGTCTTCGGTGTTTCGGGCCTCATTTTCGGATCGGTGCTTTGCCTCCGTCCGTCGTTCAGAATGGTACCCTCGCCCCAGCGCGGGCCACTTTCCTGGGTCCGAGTCCCTTTTCATCGTTGTCACCCTGTCATTTTCCCTCCTCCGCCCTCCCCTGGTCCGCCTGCTCCTCCCACTCCTTGCAGTGCAGTTCCCGCAGCTGCTTCGTTGTTGTCCTCCTCCTTCCTCATCCTCCTCTGTTTCCTCCCGCTCGTCCTCCTGTTCACCCGCCACCACCTTCTTCTTCTCCTCCTCCTGCTCCTGCTGCTGCTCCTCCTCCTCCTCCTCCTCCTCCTCCTCCTCCTCCTCCTCCTATGTACGCATCTCCCCTTTACCGATTGCGCGTCATGCGTCCAGGTCCTTTTTTGGAGTTCCATGTCGGCTATGACACGCGGCCACGGCTAGAGACAAAATCAGCGCAATGGGAAGGGGAAGGCAGGGAGGGATAGGGTGTCAGACATGGCGCGAGCGCGCATAGCTTGTCTTCCACCCCCCTCCTCGCACCCCGACAGTCCAGTCGAACAGCAGGGCAAGGGGCCAGGTCTGCATAATTCGCTGCTTGATATTTCGCCGCGAGAGTCAGCGCTCGGGTGGTGCGCCGACGCGCGTGCGTTGCTTTCTCTTGAAGCTGTAAGTGATTCGAAGGCGGCCGTCGGAGTTCGGCAGCCGCCCGTCCCCAATAGTCATGCTCGTGCGCACTTTGTACGAAGGTCTGCTCGTGGTGACTTTACGTCACCACGAGCGCCAATAGTGCTCCTAATGTATGGATTAGGCTTGCATTCCACGGTCAGCCTGATCGTTATAAGTGTATGCACGCGGTGACTTAGTTCCAAGTTATCGCTGGCGAGTCTTGGAGGCCCTGGTTGTCTGTGATTCAGGCCAAAGGGTTCCACGTAACCAGCGTCAGCATAATTTTTCGGCGACCTGAAGTCGACCGGACATGCAAATCCCAGACATTGGGATCTGGTGTTTTCACCATGCTTTCCTCTTGCTCACTCTTTTTCTTTCTCCTACACTTTCTTTATTTCTCTCTCTCTCTCTCTCTCTCGCTTTTGTTTGTCTCTCTCTATCTCTTTCTTTATATATACTTGTTGTACATCTATACACATCTATATATATATATATATATAGATATTCATGTTGGGGTATACATGCGTTCTGTCCGTTCTCGATACCTGTACACCTGTATAAACAGATACATAACCAGCTATGTCTTTTGTTAATTCCCTTCTCTCTCACTCCCTCTTTTCTCTCTCTCTATCTCTCTCCTCTATTCGTTTTGCTTGTTTTTATTTCTCTCTCAGACACTCTCTCGTTCCTTCTCCCTCAGACACTCTCTCGATCCTTCTCCTCCTCTCCCTCTCCCTCATGCCTTTTTGGCTGGGTCTCTCTGTCTCTCTCTCTCTCTCTTTCTCAGTTGCCCTCTGTGCTCATGTACGCACGCCCCCTCTCCCCATCCATTGTTCGCATTTTTTAAGTACGATCATCGAGCCCAACGTGTTGTCGGATGCCTGGCTCGTTGGTGGAGCTGTTTTTCGAATGAGGGCTTTGCCTCAGTGCACGACGAAGTCCATGATGTATGGCCCGTCGAGTGCGGAGGTGGCATGGCATTTATAGGGAGAGGGCCAGCCTCTTGTGTGCCCCTCGTGCGCGGTGGTGGCGGCAGCCACTTCATTCTGTGATTCTTCATCGCAGACTGCGCATAAGGTCATCTATCGTCGGGCCTGCCGCCCCTCCACTGGGCATGCTGAGTATAAGAGACTGCGTGGGAACCTTTGTCAACTCGTCAGCCGCGCAAGCCCAAGCGGACGGACGACTCTGTTTCAATGGTGATATTGGCCTGCAGACAGTGCAGGCCGTGGTTCTGGCTGTCGATCTTCCTGTCATGCGGAGGCCCACCCGTAGTTGCAGGCGCCTGTCCCTGAACACTAAAATTAAAACAGGACCACTCGCTTCTGACCTCCTCGGTTATATCGAAGACGCCTACGCCTATCCACCGCCGCCCCCCTGCCTTTGGAAACGCCTACCTGGCCAACATTTTGGCCGAAATCTTGCCAAGCTA